TACACTGTCAAAAGAACCTATAACATTAAGATTTTTTGTGTGTACAAGAAGAGTGTGTGTAAAATATTGTTCATTCAAGAATGGAAAAACTTACCCGAAGCATGCATAATATAACTGCTGTCTTCATCTAGGGTTTCAACCTGTCAATTAAAGTAATACTAATTAGATATTTAATATTTATTTGGTAAGTAATTTTAACTAATCTATTTAACTACTGATATTTTTGGTATTAATGTCTGCACACTAAATAATATAGATAATATATACCGAATTGTCCAAAAATAATGATAAAAAGATTATGTCTTTATATACATATATATATATATATATATATATATATATATATATATATATATATATATATATATATATATATATATATATATATATATATATATATATATATATATATATATATATATATATATATTATTCATGTTAACAAAACACAATCAGTGCAAACATGCAAAACCACAGGAAGGCATTCTAACCTTTGCAAACACGGTAAAGTTGGCTTGGCACGGCGTACAGTACTTAAACATGGATTCCCAATGTTCGTTTAAAGACAGCTTACTACGATGCTGGTCTAAGACGTACTGCACGAACTGGGGAAAGGTGGGGTATTGGCGTTGGCCAAAGAGAATACCCAGTAGCTTAATAGCTGTCCCCACCCCAAGCTCTGGATGTGCTTTCATTATACGATGATGCAGGCTTTGATATGGTGGCGCGTACCTTGCGATCTTATCCCTACGTGAAGGGAGAGGGAAAAAAAGGGTTATCGGAGAGAGAGAGAGAGAGAGCGAAAGAGACAGACAGACTGACTGACTGACTGACATAAGAGAGAGAGACAGACAGATTAACAGAGAATGAGAGAAATAACTTAATAATAATCACCATGACTGGTAGACTGGTAGAATCTACTATTCATAATGTATTACACACTCCAAGTTTATCCATGATGTTAATAATCAGATATCAAAGAAAATTCAAAATACATCAGTCCAAGTTGGCCTACCCTTTCAGAAGTAGAAAAAGTTACAAGACTCGTGGTCCCAGAAGAGGTTGGTTTAGCTACTGAGATTCCGAATACAAATTAACTTTACTTGTCATACAAATATAATAATAAGCACACCTGTAAGCTGACACCAGGCGAATGAAAGGGTGCCTGGCGATCATGAAGGCAAGAGGAGGTGGAGATGACTGCAAAGCGGTTCGGAGAGACTGCTCGTCCAGTCTAACGAAAGGAGATGCGAGTCACAAGTATAGTAATAAGAGACGATCTATTATCCTTAGTTCATGATACCAAAAAAACTGTGATCATAATGATATGATTGGTAGTTATCTATGAATTACATTCTAATATACCTACACAATACACATACGTCACATCATAATCATCAGAACAAAACAAAAAACACACAAGCCCTTACCTCGGATACCTTGCTCGGGCCATGTTCAAAGGATCGTTAATATTATCCAATAATTCCTCTTCAGTATATCCTGCAAGAATGTTGAAGTGCCACATCCAAGTGGAAGAGGCAGCCTTGAAAACGTTGCACCATATGAGCCCATGCTCTTTGTTGACCAGAAATTCCTTCGAGTTTATGATTTGGTTTCTCGAGGAGTTGAAACCGTATTTGTTGCAGACCTGTTCGTTGGTTCATTGGAGAGACGGTTCCAGTTTTGAAACTAGACAATTGTTTTTGTTGTTGTCCTCACTGTTACAGGGACTCTTTTGGTTTATTAATGAATATGATAATAATGATAATAAAAACACCAGTGATAATAATAATATTTATGAAGAAAATAATGATAAGACAACAACAATAATGATAATGAAGATGATGATAATAGTAATAACAATAATAATAATGATGATAATAACAATAATGATAATGATAATTATAATAATAATAATGATAATAATGATGATGTTAATGATAAAGATAATGATAGTATTGATATTAATAGTAATGAGGATGATGATCATAATAATATTAATGATAATAATAATTAGTAGTAGCAGTAGTAGTAGTATTACTATTATTATTATTACAATGATGAGACCAATAACAGTAATGATGAGATAATAATAATAATGATAATTACTGTAATGATAATGACAATAATGATAATAATTACTGTAATGATAATGACAATAATGATAATAATAGTACTAATGATAATGTTAGCAGTAATGATAATAATGATAATGATAACAATAATAATTATTAAACCGGGCTCCCCTCATGGGCATAGCCCGGGCGAGGCTCTGCCTCGCAAATCAGACAAAAAAAATATATATATATTATTATTATTATGATAAAAATAAGTAATAGTAATAATAACAATGATAGTAATAATAATGATGATAACAATAATGATAATAATAATAATGATGATAATAATAATGATAATGATAATAATGATAATATTAATAATAGAAATAATAATAATAATAATAATGATAATGATAATGATAATGATAATAATAATGATA